TTCAATTAAAATGATTGTGACAGATCCTACTAATGTCAATACCGGAAAGAAAAATGGTGTTGTTGTAAAACTTCAGGACATTTTTCAAAAAAAAGGATTACAAAAACCTCAATTTGTACCATGTCAACATCATATCTTGGATAGAATACTTAGACTAGAAATGGAAGAAAAATTGGGAGAAAATCTAAACTCACTAAACATTAATTACTTTTTTACTAACGAGTTGTTAGAACATTATGAAAAACTGTTTCATAATGTTCTAACAACTCGTTAGTAAAAAAGTAATTAATGTTTGTTACTAAGTAATTTGTTGTTAGCCTACATTCTTATGTCAAAAACAAGAAACAAACTTGAATCTGTATGTACCTTTATTTCTTACAAGTGGGCAGACTTTTGGTTTGACGACCAAACCTATAAAGAAAACACTTATTCAGACCTTCATGAAGTTTTATTAAACAAAAAGAAACCTCTTGCTACATTTACAAGTTATTGGAATCCAGAACCATCAGCAATCAACATTCCCAGAAGTAATCAATGTGCTGAAAGAGCAATTAAAGTAATGGAGGAGCTTTATAGATTGTGCAGAAATAAAGACAATCTTCCATTTCGTTTCATTTTGCCTAATAAACAATAATTGTATGTCTTTAAATTGTATAAAATGTTTTTTCCTGCATTGAATATAACACTATGCCATGTATTAATTGTTAGAATAAATTATGTTTTTTTATAGAATCATATGAATGAACATGTTTGCAAATAGAAATGATTTTGGTCATTAATTTTTTTAAAACCTTTTTAAATCTTAATTTGCTTTGGGGCGTGACATTTTTTTTGAACATCGTGAAAGTATTAATATTTTCGCATTTTATGCGTAAAAACTCATCCATTTTTGGGCCAGGGAAATTTTTTTTAAAAAAGTCATATCCCTAATATATATATATATATATATATATATATATATATATATATATATATATATATATATATATATATATATATATATATATATATATATATATATATATATAAATATATATACATGGTTTTTTTATTTCAACATAACTAAAAAACCAAAAATAATTAAAATTAGACGCGTTTATCTTTACAAACGTTTTTATATTAGCAAAACGCTTTTAAATAAAGATTTTAATTATCATTGAAAGTTGTAAATTTCGTTATTTATAATATTTAATTATATAAGATTTTTTTATAAGTAAAAATAAAAAAAGTAAAAGTTATTAAAATTTTTTTTTTAATTTTAGACTTTAATATGCGAATATATCTCTAATAAAATGACGCTAATTAAATTGACTAGAATGTTTTTAAAAATAAAAACAATGTTTTTATTTTTCACTGTAAATCATGCGCGGAGTGCGGCTACATCGAATATCTTATAGCCTGCTCCTACAAGAAAGTGCTTCTACATTGATTATCTTATAACCTGACTCGCAACAGAGTGCTGCATTGACTGACAAATAGCCTGACTCACAACGGAGTACTGCTACATCGACTGAGGATTATATATATATATATATATATATATATATATATATATATATATATATATATATATATATATATATATATATATATATGTATATATATGTATATATATGTATATATATGTATATATATGTATATATATGTATATATATGTATATATATGTATATATATGTATATATATGTATATATATGTATATATATGTATATATATGTATATATATGTATATATATGTATATATATGTATATATATGTATATATATGTATATATATGTATATATATGTATATATATGTATATATATGTATATATATGTATATATATGTATATATATGTATATATATGTATATATATGTATATATATGTATATATATGTATATATATGTATATATATGTATATATATATATATATATATATATATATATATATATATATATATATATATATATATATATATATATATATATATATATATATATATATATGTATATATATATATATATATATATATATATATATATATATATATATATATATATATATATATATGTATGTATATATATATATATATATATATATATATATATATATATATATATATATATATATATTATGTATATATATATATATATATATATATATATATATATATATATATATATATATATATATATATATATATACAGCCAACAAAATTTAGGTCGTAAAAGACAAACTATATTTGATTTAGGACGGCATACAACTGCCGACCTGAACATCCTAAAGTGTCGGCATGTAAATTGAAATACATATAAAAAATATATAATATTCGTTAAATATTATTTTTTAATTTTTTAAATATTGAAAAACACCACCCCTACTATTGAAGAATAAAATGCCTATTTCTCGTAGAGGTTAAACAACCGGATGTAAACTGTCTACTCATTTTGTTAAACAACTTTCCGTTTTAAACAAAATCTTTGCCTACAGCACATAAACTAAATTTGCATTTCTAAACAACGTTCAATCTATGAGCAATCAGAAAACCAAATAAAATGTAATAAATAAACAATGCCTATTTTTTGTGAAAAAAAAAAACAATTTCAAAACTAAAAAATCACTGATTCATAATTTTGCTATATACTTAATTTATTACATAAAATTTAACTGCTGCATTCTTTAAAATATTATTGTCTAAACTTATGCTATTATAAAGCAATCCTTTTATAATCAATTAATCATTACCATTATTGTAACAGAAAGCAAAAAAAAAGACCTTCCTATATTTATGAACGGTAATGTAGTCGATGAGTCTCCTACCCTTCATCTTCTAGGATTAACTCTCACATTCAATCAAGTCTCATCCTTTTTCTGTTACTGTTCCTAAGTGCTCCAAAAACTCTTATTCGTCTAGTTTTTTTCCTCGAACATCAGTTCTTTGGAATTCGCTTCCTTTATCTTGTTTTCCTGATTCATATAATTTGCAATCTTTTAAGTCGTCTGTCAATCATTATCTTGCTCTACAACTTTTATCTTTTCTCTTACAGTAACTTCCAATACTAATTAGTGGTTGCTTGCAGCCTTGTTGGAAGCGAAGATTAAAAAAAAAAATCCAACTTTTTTTTTGCCGACCTGACATTGGCTAAACAGGAAAATGCCGCCGTTTTTTTGGAAAACAGGAAAATGCCGCCGTTTGCAATAATGCTTTATAATAATGCTGAAAATGTTTCAAAAACAAAACTAAAAAAATAAAAAGAGATTGAAATAGAAAAAAATCAAAACAAATTAATAATTTAAATAATTTGTGTACTGTTTTTATTTTTGTTTATTTAGAGTACCATTTAAAAGCAACAAAATTAGGTAAGGCGAAGTTAAAAAAAAAACAGTTTGAAGTCTACAATAAAAAGAATGATTTTCCTTTTCTTAATTTTTTCAGGAGGATAGCAAAAATACAAATTGCAATGTAATATTATAAATATAATATAATATTATAATGTTATAACGCACTTATAACTTTTAAAATTCATTCTTTAATCAAGCAACATAAGTATTACCAAATTTTAATTGAATTAGAAAAATATCTAGAAGAATAAAGTGGATGTTCAAATAATATTAAAACTAAAGTACCTTATAATGGACCGTAAAAACGCGCATTAATTTTAAAATTAACCAATAAAAATTTTTATTGGTTGATTTTAAAATTAACGCGCGTTTTTACGTTTTTCATAATGCTATACTTTTTATAAAGTACTTTTTCATAACGTTGTTTTAGTGTTATGTGAAAGTTCCTGAAATTTTAAATAATATTTGAATATCCGCTTTATTTTTTCTAGATGCTTTTCTACTTTAATAAATGTTTCGAATTAATAATGTTGTTTGAACAAAGAATGAACTTTAAAAGTAATAAGTGCTTTTAAATGTAATAACACTATTATAGTTTTATTACTTTTATAATGCAGTTAGTGACTAAAGTGTTATTACTTTTGTAGTCGTAAGTTTATTGTTTTTGTTTTTTTTTTTTTTTGTAACTTTCTCGCTAGCAAACTATTAATAATTTGCTCCTTATAAACTAAGTACACAGCTTTGCATGAACTAAAATTTTAAAGACCTAATATTTTACCAGAGTTTGCAAACGCGATCGTATAATTTAACTCTTGATATAAACTTGTTACATTATAATTATACAAATATTTTACAAAGAGATGACGATACATATTTTCTCTTTCCTCTTTAAAAGAAAAAACACATAAAATATGGGAAAGTCATCCTTTTTAACGCCTAAAACGTTTTTTTTTTTTTTTGCTTTGACTTAATGAATTTTGTTGCCGATAATAATAACCATTAAGAAAAAACAAAAATAAATTTAAGTTTACTTTAATTTCTTATGCAGTTATTAAATTTAAAACAATTTTTCAGTAACACATATAATATAACTTGCGCAAACGGCTGTGATCACATTCTCTAACTTGAAAAAAGTTTTCGTGGTCATATGAGAAAAAAACGGCACACCTTTCCTGCAAAGGCTTTATATTTATATTTATATATGTATGTATGTATGTGTGTATATATATATATATATATATATATATATATATATATATATATATATATATATATATATATATATATATATATATATATATATATATCATGGATCATATATATATCATGGATCTGAAAGATCTTTAACTTAAACAACATTTTAGAATAGTTTTTTTTTTATATTTCAATTTATCTCCTTAAAGCCATAAAGACCACTACATTCAAGAAAGCTACTTTTAGCTGTGGATACAACCCTCTTTTAACTCTATAACACAAATCTTAATAAATAAAGCCGCTGCGTGGAGAAATAAGTTGAGTATGGTGGGGATCGATCTTGGAACTTCTTGTTTAGGAGGCAAATAATCAAACAAAACATTATAAAAAAGTTATAAAGAAGCTAATTTTAAAAAATGTTTTTAAATACAAACTTTTCATAACATTAAGTTATTAAAAGTATATATCTAAAAAAAAAATTACCTTGCTTCTTGATCATGGCTTTCACCAGAACTTAATCCATCTAGACCGCTATCACCCCATAAAATTTTTTCTTTATTCATTGATTGGTTGTTTCTTCCAGTAGATAACTTTACACCTAATGTGTACTTGCCACCAAAAACAAATCCGTTAAATTTTGAGATAGCAGCTTCAGCATCTCGCACATTACGGTAAGAAACAAAGCTAAATATATAAATTTGAAACTTAAATTCTTTTTCTCAAATTATCTAGTAAGTAAATAAATTAGTAACTAAGTAATAATAACTAAAATGGCATAATTCAAATTATTTTACAGTTTCAGTCAGGTTTCAGTTATAAAGTAAAAACTTTATTTGGAGTAATTTGGGGCAACGGGGAAGACAAGACGAATTTCTTTAATCCTTTCTGGTGATAGTAATCATCATAGTCCTTCATTAATTCACTTAGTTTGCGGTTTTAAATGCTAAGCTCAACAAACCTGTTTTTTGGAATGTTTAATTTGTTTGATGACAAATAACTAGTATTTTTGTGACTTAGTGAAAGCATTATTTATTTTAACACGTTTCTCAGTAAAGACATGATTGAAGCAAGGCATACTCTAGATATATATATATATATATAAGTACCAGTGTCGTGCTGATCATTTTTAGAAAAAAGATTTCTTTATTAATAATTCCCCCGAAAGAAAGTTCACAGTATTATTTTGATGTAAGAACGTTTAAAAGACTAACTCTAACCTGGAAATTTAAATAAAATACTTTAAGAAACCTAAACTTCATCTAGGCTAACAAAAAACCAAAATTCACTCTGTATAATATCAATATTTAAACACAATAATTTTATGCAATCTGTTGTTAGATTGGTCATTTGAAATAAAAACTGTTTCCTTTATTTGTACAATTATTGGAATTAAAGCTTTCTAGCAGTTAAGTAAGTTTTTTTGTATACAGATTTTCATTATAATCAATATTTTTATTTATATACCATTTTTTATATATTTTAAAAACAATACTTTTGATAAATATCTGCTCCCTCTGCCTCCTAAATGTGTTCTATAAAATAAAAAAGGTTTCACGAAAACCAAAATTAAATTTTAAAAATAATAATAATTTTATTAACAAATCATTACTTAGATTTTATAGCAAAAATAACTATGGCTTTTTAACATTGAATCAAATAAGATTTTATAAAAATGATTTAAACTTAGCAGTTTTTATAAAATATACTTTTCTTTTTTTTTTATTTGTCATTAAAAAAAAAAGAATACAATGCAGTGTTATATAAATAAAATCTACATGACCGGGGCTAAAAGAAGACAATATTTGCCTTATCACTACTTTCTTATTTTTTAAATTTCAATTTTACTTTTTTTTCTTCTTTTTCTGAGACCCAGGTTGACATAATTTTTTTTTAAAGTTTATTGTTGAAATATTTCTAGTCTAGAGCTTATTTATATATTATAGAGCTTTTTTATATATATATATTTTTTACACTTAGTAAAAAATTATATAAAAAATATTTGAATCTTGGTGTTACTTCATTACATAAAACATTCTTAAGGGGAGAGAGCAGATTTAATAAAAATATTGTTTTAAGATCCACCCTAATGTATACAAACAAAAAGTTTTACATAAAATCTTACCCGTAAGTAGTATTTTTGTTAGAAATTGAATTTGATCTTTTCACATTGTAACAATTTCCGACTGAAGAAAATAAGTTCGTAAGACCTTCCTACAAATATTGTAAATAAAAGATGTTTAATATTAAAACCATTACTTTTAAGCATTCAAGTCTCAAAAAAGGATTAAAAAAACTTTGACTTGCAAGTCAAGTTTTATTTAATTAAATTTAATTATATACACTAATAGTTTTTAAACTTACTTGTTTACCAAGTAAAGTATTCCTATTAAAATATTGTTCCACTTCACTTTACTTTAGCTTAGATTCTGGAAGGGGTTGTGCAAGATTTAGTTATGAATTTTCTTAATGTAAATAATCTTTTTTCGAAACAGTACGGCTTTATTAAGAAAAAATTTTGAACAACTATTATTGAGACAGTAGACACGATTTTGTATTATTTGCCTCAGGATATATTATATATCAAGACAAAAAACAAGATATTAGACTTGAGGGATTTAATTATGTGCAACATAAAAGATTATTGATAAAATTTAAATGTTATTTCTGGTACTTTTTTAATATGAATTGAAACATTTCCTAAAAATATAAGACAAAGAGATATATTTTGTGGTGCATCGAAGGGGTCTGTTATTGAGCTTTTACTATTTGTTATGTACATTATTGATATATTTTGTGCTTTTAGTTTTTAAATTATTTTATTATTAGTTGTTTTTATTATATTTTTTTTACATTTTTTGTTTATATTTCTTATTCACATTTAAGTATAAATTTTATAAATCAGCTTTATTTTTATCATTTTAAAATCAGTATAAAATGTGACCATTTTATGGAGTAAAAAAATGTATAAATTATGTATAATTATGTTTATTTAAAAAAAATTATTTTGTTTTATTCAAAATACAAAATAGAATACAGACAATACAAAATGAGAATTTATGAACTATTAAAAGTGTAACTACTTTGTAATTAATAGTTGTGAAAAGATTTAAATTACAGTTTATTTATTATAAAATTGTTTTATTCTCAAAAGCAAAAACATCAAATTTGTTTGAAACTTTTCATAGACTAAAAAAGAGATAGTGAAATGGGGAAACCTTTTAACATTTATACATAATTTCTTAGTTTTCAGCGTTTAAAAACTTTTAAGTTGGTTTATTAAAAAGAAACTTGTTATAATATGTTAAAATGGTACTTAGGACTTTTGTGAAGAAATTATGTATATTATAGGGTTGTTAACCGGAGGATTTCGTGCAATTCCGGAAAAACAACATTCTTTCGTAAGGAGATTGAGAACACGGAATTACATTTTTTCGTACCGAATGTTACAAAACATTTAAAATCGCCGATGTTCATTTCGCAAAAGCCACTTCCAAAATTTAGCATTTCGCAAGTTGACATACGAAACAAAACTATTTTGCAACATACGAAAGTAGCGGTTTCGGAAGTCGCACTTGCGAAACAAACATTTTCGCCAAACGACGTTTTGAAGTCTATAAAGAAAATTTGTTTGCCAGACTGATTTTAATTGTAAAAATTAACATCTTTAAATCCCAAAATGTTTATAATGAATTTTTATTTTCAGTATAATAACTATTAAATTTTTATGGTTTTATTTTTAGGAATATTGATAAAAAATAAAATTTCTTTCGAAACGAAAGTATTTCGGATCACAACATACGAAAGAATTCTTAACGGAAATAAACTTACGAAACGTGCCATAATAAATATATACAACGATGTTTTTTGAACTCATTACGTATATTAAAAATAAGAATGATGGGTAGGAATATACATGTTTTTTTTTTTAAGCATATGAAATTTTTGAAACAGGTTCGAATATGCTTAAGCAAATAGTAAAAAGAGGCTCAAAAATATGCTTTAGCTTAAGCATATTTCTGATAAAATATACCTATTTCAATAATTTCTAAAAGTGTGCACGTTACTAAAGTTCTAGCAGATTTTAAAGGTATGTAGAGTCTTGTTTGAATACGCTTTTCGAAGTATAGATCTTAGAAAATATTGTTTTTTAATTTTAATAAGATATAAAGTTAAGTATAAGATCGTATAGTTCAATCAGTTAGATACGTGAGAGTTCGCCGCAGAGATCCGGGTTCGCATTCCGCAGCCATTGTAACTTTTGTTCATCAAACTTTTTTTACTTAAGATAGCATTTTTTGACCTCCATGTTCTATAATACAGATCTTTCGTCACCTTCATAATAGTGACAACCTCTCTTCTGTTAGTTATTTTTTTAAGATTGAGTTCATTGTCCTTAATTCTACACGTTTCCCTTGCTTTACTAAGCTCTACTTAAATTATGATGAAATGTACGTAAAACAACTTTTTCAAATAATATAAATCATTTTGCATTAAATCTTTTGCTTTTTGTACTAGACATCTGTCCTAAATACTTTGTAATAATTTCTAGCTAACTCTGAGTCTAATATAACCATTTCTGAATATAATTTCCCTAAGGCTCCTACAGCCTATTGTGTTCCATTAAAAGTAACTAGTTTTTGAGTCCAGATATTAATTATAAGCATCTAAAGGTTCACATTACTATTCATTTTCCTGATATATAGAATCCTATTTGCATACGTATCTCTTTCTGTAAATTCTGTTTTATATAGTTTCTTAATTATATATTAAATAAATATTACTATTCACTTAGTTGAATGAACGTATAGCTCATTCAGTTAAGACATTTGGCCGCGTAGACCCAGGTTCACATCCCGCTGTTTCACATATATTTCTTCTCTTTTTACTCTTTCTGATATCATTTACCTTTAGAGAGATCTCTCGTTCTTTATAATAAAGTATTTAATTGTTTATCACACATTCTCTTTATACTTTTTAAAAAGAAAGGCATACTGTTTATCTGTTCATTGAGAGTCCAACTTAACGGGATTTTACTGTATATATATATGTATATATTTATATATATATATGTATATCAGGCTTTCCCAGGAAAGGCGTGCGGTCGCACGCCTTGTTTGTCCACGCATGGAATAAATTTTTCAGAAAATGTGACCACGGCAATATTTCGTAAGAAAGCGGATATTATCCATAGAGAATAAAAAATAATATTTAAAAAATGAAACGAAGTCTAAACAAAGTATAAAATTGAAATTGGATGTAAGAAAAATATTTCGATAATAAAAAAAAATTAAAAAAAAAAAATTCTTGTAACAAAAAAAAGTCTTGAACATTTTTTTCAAAATTTTATACTGTTTTTGTTTTCTTTTATTAGGGTTGCTATTTTCAGCTACGAAATTTGATACAAGTTAAGGAAAAGACGACGATAAGTCATAAAGTTTTTAAGAAAATAAAAAGACTTGATACGTAATTTATTCACGAACTTTATTAGACAATGTATTAAAAAATTGATTCATTATTTACGCTAGACAAATTTGGTCAAACTTTTTCATTTAATTTAGTTTTTACGAAGGTTTATGCAAAGGCAATGACTTTATTCCCCAATACTTAGACAAGAAAATAAATTGCTGTTTTAATTATTAAATATATTATTTGAGATTTTAAACATAACAAAATTATAATGTGAAAAAAGTTCTCGACTTATTCTAAACTGATTTTACTGCGTCAATGCTCGCCTTTTATTACGTTGAAATTATTCAATTGCATAATTTTGTTATTACGAAAGAAGTTAAAAAAATAATTGCATTGCTTCTGTTGTCATCGTTACGAAAACAGTTCCTTCGGGACATCATTATATATTAACACTCGTTCACAACGTCAATTAATGATCGCAAAAAAAGCAACTCAATCGTTTGACAATAACATTTTCATTCATTTAAAAAAAAAAAAAAACTTATTTTACTAATAAATAGCAATCATTTTCGTGTTTTCTTGCGTATCAATACATTCAAACATTAAAATACATTTAAATACATTTAAACATTTAAATGTATTTACGAAACATTTAAAAATTGTTTATAGTTCTATCGTGAATTTTAAAGTATTACTGACTGATAAAAGTGGTAAACAAATTTACATTAAAAGGTCCTTTTATTTTCTTTAAACATTAATCTTTTTCTTTTTGATTTGATTTTTCTTATTGATTTGATTTTTTATAGCTAAAATAACTACCACCCTAAAAAAATAAATAAATAAAATGTAGGTAAATCTTTTTTTAATAATATACATTAATTTTTTAATTTTAAAGCACAAACAGATTTCTGTTATTTACTTTAAGATTGCTTGCATTTTTGCCGCATTTTCGTTTAGCTTTGTTTTGGCGTGAATTCTTGAAACGCATAATAATAAAACGTGGTCAGTTAGTCAGAAAAATTTATTCTATGCGTGGACAAACAAGGCGTGCGACCGCACGCCTTTCCTGGGAAAGCCTGGTATATATGTATATATATATATATATATATATATATATATATATATATATATATATATATATATACATATATATACAGTAAAATCCTGTTAAGTAAAATCCCGTTAATGTGTGTATATATACATATATATATATATATATATATATATATATATATATATATATATATATATATATATATATATATATATATATATATATATATTAGGTATATTTGTATAAACATTTGAAGAATCATTTGACAACATTTTTTTATAAATTTATTATTTATTATTTAAACTGTTAACAGTTAATATCTTAAATATATCGTAACATAAAATCTTTTGCGTCTTTTTCGTAACTACACATTCCGGAATGCTTTTTCCGTAAGGAACTATTTCGTAAGTATTCTTACAAAATGATTTGTTTCGCAAGTTTTCTTTCGCAATGCTTTATTACGGAATTTTATTTACTATTTATATTTTCGTATAGCGCGTTACGGAATGTGCATTTTTGCATGTGCAACTTCCGCAATAACAATTCTATTACGGTAGATAAAGATGCGAAATTTTCGCAAGTTTTGTTTTTCGGCGAACAACCCTAGTATATTATGCCTTTTTCTTTCACATATTTATTGTCTTTTTACGCAAGATTTTTGATGTTTTCTTATCTTATTTTGGTGCCATTACACAGCCAATTTTCAATACTAGAGTACTAGGCACATTGTCAAAAAATCATCAATTTTTCCAGCACAAAAAATCCAATAACATTCGATCCACTAAACTTATAATGTTGAATGATATACAGTAATAGATGTTCATAATATACATCGACAGAATAATAATAACAATTAAGTATGCATATGAACCTTTTTAAAGATTTTTAATGACAAAATAAACCCCATATTATATTATTAAAAACTCTTAGCATATTTTCATCATTTTCCATTTGTTGTGCATGATTAACCCCAGGTGATCATAATTTTCAAAATATTTCAAGTTTTTTTTTTTAATATGAAAAAAAAGTTTTTACCATTTTTTTTTTTAAAGTTAATGCCCATGATTTCACAATATTAAATATATATCTTATCAGAATAGCAACTTTAAGTTAAGCAACTTTAAATTGCACAATAAATGATTAGTTAAATAATAAAACGAATAAGTTTAATTGAAAATCAAAAACTTAAAACAAAATCAAAAAGGTACAAACCTCAGTCATTGATAAAGGAATGTTGTATACATGAAGTCGCACTTCGTCTACGCCACATTTAGTAGGAGATATTTTTTCAGAACCATCTAAACTAAAATACAAAAAACAAGTAGAATTTTATCAAAAATTTAAAACCAAGCCCTTAAACTCCTAAATAAACGCCAATTTTGAATATAAAAAATGTCAACAACAAAAAGAAAAGTGACCATGAGGAGCCTTTTTCCAGTAAAAAAAAATGTTTAAACAAATTAGAGAAATAGTTGTTTGCAAATATCTGACTTATAAAATATTCAGAAACAGGAAGAAAACATCTAAGATTATCATTTGATTCAATATATGAAAAGATAATTTTCTTAGAGAAAAAAGTTTGACCATTTTCTTTGCGGGTTATTCAGATACTGACTTCTTATTAAATAAAATAGTTGTTTATTGTATTTTATGTCTCTATTTTATGATGATAATTTATTTTATACTGCTATCAAATTTTATAAAAATTTTATCAATTTCAATACTTAAAACGAAAACTACTTCCTCGTTTTGATATTTGCTGATCTCAAACTTTTAAGATTATTAAACAATTTAAGCAATAAAATATAGAGATCTTAAGTATTTAAGTAAATAACTACTTGCTTAAATACTTATAATTGCTATATTTATTATTTAGACTTTAAAAGAAATATTAACATTTCTAGTTATTATTTCACAATTCATTCAAAAAAAATTCCATTCATTTATACAAATTCATTAACATTTAATCAACTAAATTTTTTTGTGACTGTAAGGTCAGAAAAAGTCCAAAAATAATTTGCATTTTTTACCATTCTGTTTTTATTTTTTTAAGTTTTGTTCATTCATTTTTGTTTATTAAATAATATTTTAGCGCTTTTTTTATACTGCAAATAAAAATCATTATAAAATTTGTTTTATTTTATATTAATAAAACAAATTTTATTACAATAATCAAAAACATTTAGTTGCTAACTAATTATTTTCAGTTTTCTATTTTTAAAGGTATTTAAATTTACTATTAAGTTAGCCTTGTAATTCTTTCTTATGATTCTCTAAAACTTGTAATTCTTGCCAATCAAATAAGATTGGTCAGAATTAATAATAAGAAATCAAAATATCTTTTTTTCAAAAGCAGAGGATCATTGATCGACTGTTATTTCCAGCACTGAAATTGTTCAAATATAAACAACAATTTGATTCTCCATACGAATTGTCTAACATATATCTCTAGTGTCAAGCCATAAAACTTTGTTATTAATGTAATTTTTCTTGGTATTTAATTTAAAACTGACTTATTTTATTTGAAAATACATATAATTCTTATAAAAATTTTTGATTTTCAATAGCTACCGGTTTTTACAATACTCATATTTTAAATAGTTAACTTTTTTAAATAATTTTATTTTACAGTTAAAAAAAACTTATTTATAATTTTAGTCTAACTTGACAACCTTTAAAAATAAGGATTTAAATTTGAGTCCAATTTTTGTAATACCTAATAAAAGCTATAATACAAGTATACTTTTGATTTTTGAGAAAAAACTACACAATATAATGCATTTTATACTTCTTTTAATTTCAGGGTTGGCAAAAAAAAAACCCTAAAAAACCCAAATATATTTGGGTTTCTTTAAAAACATATTTTATAACTGATAAGTCTGATTTTTAGCTCCTATAAATGCTTCATAATTAACAAATTGCAACTTTTATACTGTAAATACTCTTTAGATATTTAGAATATAATTTTTAGTTTGAACTCCTTACAGAATAATCCAAAAACGATCAATCATTTTTTGAAGCAAGTTGGTAATTTATTATTTTTTAAACCATATTGCAAGTTTAATATTATTGAAATATTAGGGTAAATTAGTTAAATATTTACTAAGGAAATAAAAATCATTCTAATAACTAAATTTTAATGTACAAGTGATTAATAGTTATTTAATATCTTTCCTTTTCTCTTAAATGCCTATATAAAAAAACAGGCGATTTAAATCTATTATTTTATATTGGTATTTGATCTTTTGTAAAAATTTGTAAAAATTTTGTAAGAATTATGTTATGAACTGCAAAATTCAGTACAAAGCCACAAGCAGAACACTATATAAAAAAAATGTTAAACTTTATTTGGTCTAGAAGTGGAAATTTGTCAGGAAAAAAAAATTATGCCACAGTTTACTAGACTGTCGACTTGTCCTTGCAAATTGCATACCATCTTAAAATATTAAATACATGTTATGTGCATTAGGGTATATCATACTTCAGTCAAAATTTAAATTTTCAAAATTATAACTAGTGCGCTTCAATTTTAATAATACTTTTGTAAAATATTAATGTTTAGCTACCGGCAAACGAGTTTTAAAATTACGATTTTATTAAAAAATAATCTTTTGAAATTAGGGTTTAATTTTTAAAATGTTTTAGACAAATATTAATACAAAGTTAAATTTTACAAGGTAAAAATTAACCACAAGTAATACAACAGATATTACCCAGGATTACTCTGCCAGGCATGTATAAAAACAATTAGGGGTCCTAGCCGCCCCCCTGTCAAATTTGATAATTTTATTATAATTATCAAGATATATTATGATTATTGTTAATGTAAACATAAATAAAAAAGCCTTTTTTTAAAACCATTTTATGAATTCAAAAGTTTTCTAGAGTTTAGCGAAGATTGTGAAATCTTGTTTGTGAAACTTTAAAAGGTCTCACACCCATAGAGCCATGTTCACTTCCGGCCCTGACTTCCAATATAATGTCGACTGCAAATGACTTTTGTTCTGAGTTATCAGAACAGAGAAATGCAACAAGTATATTCTCAGGATGAGCCCACCAGGATACACTTTTTAGATAAGGTTAAGAGGTTTCTTTAACCCTATCATCTTGTTTCTGCAAGTCGAAATAGCTTTAAAAGATGACCAGAACCGTATTTAATACCATGATTTACTTAAATTCCAAAAAACATTGAACGATAAACCTGTCACCCAAGTTCCAAGGAGCTTTAAGACCTCTGCATTCTCAGGTTTTAGATCATGTTTGCTCATATATAGAAGCAAGCATTTAATGCCACAAGTAAGCCATCGACTGTGAGACTACTACTTCAGAATCAAAGTTTCCTTTTAATATTGCATTTAAATACTTCCATGCAACTAAACTGTCAGTGCTTATTTGCTTAACAAAACCTTCACTGATTTTAACTAAAAGCTCCAAATAAGGAATTGGCCTAAATTTAGTAATTCTTTCAAGATGATCAACTTTAGAAAACAGTTTACCAACTGCTCCACACCATCCTTTTCCTAAAGAAGTTGGCCTGCCAAGTTTTTCCACAATATGACAGAATGGAAGCTCATTAATGTGAAGCCAACAAAATGATTTATAAAGTTTTTGATGGATAAGTTCCTCCATAAAATGAAGCATTCCACCTTTCTGCCCAGACATTTCATTTGTAGTGTCACTACCAATTAGTTGGAGATTAAGATCTTTACCTCTTTACATTAGCCAGTTGAATAATCCAATAGCACATTGTTTGGCTGGTTTACATAATTCTGATTTAGGCTCTGGTGTATGAGTAAGATAGATACTTCTAGGCTCCTCAGACACAGTTATATGGTATTCTTGAATAATTTTTTTTCTGAAGGTACATGTGGTCTTATCATGCACAAGGATTAAAGTTTTATCTTTTCTACCATCAACAAAAATTCCAGCGATTATATTTCTTTCAGTCTATATTTTCTTCTACTCTAGAACACTTCATAGCACGCTCTTTGACACAAAAAAACTTTCATGTTATCACAAATGAGATTATTTTTATCTTCAACAAGTTTTCCTGCTTTCTTATTTTAAAAGACTATTTATGATGGCAGCAGTAGCAGTCAATGACACACCAAATCTGACAAAGGCAATGGCAGCATTACTAATATCAAGGTTATTTTGTTTAAGATAATTTTCTTGTTTTTCTAATGTTGAATCTTCTTCGTTATCACTGACTTTATCGCTATCACTGACCATATCAACATTAGAATTATTATTTATTTCTGTTCCAACATCCATATTTTTAGCGTCAAATCTAATAGTAGATGAATAAAATGTTCTTGACAACTCTTGTTGTCGATTGAGCCTTGCTTGATCGATTGACTTACGAAAGTTTTTAAACATAATCTTAGTTTTAATCCAAATAAGCTTTTTTGTGGAATTCTTAAATTTAAGTTACATTAGCATAGACAATGAGCAGGATTTTCACAAGATTCTTTGGAAGGGGCATCATTCTCACAGCAGTAAACAATTTTGCATTTGCAATAAGCAATGTCTAAAAGTTTATCAAGTTTAGATTCCCAGTATATTTTATTAGCCTTTTGGGCTTTGTGTCGAGCTATCTTAGAGAATGCAGACCTCTACTGAGTCTTAGTTCTATAGCTTTTGTACCACAAATGATAGGCTATTTAAACATTGTTTTAGAAATCATTCTGCAATTTCATGGGCAACATTAGAAAAAATTTCTTGCATTGATAAACTACGTGGATTTTTTTTATGAAATAGTATTTTTTCTCTTTGTAGATCAAGACATTGTTGCAAACTATCATGTAACGTTGGAAATTCAGTTAGAAGAAACTTTCTTGGACCTCCAAGATATTCATTAAGCTTAGTGTTAATGGATTTTTTGGTTTTTGCCATTTTTCTATTTTAAATATATTATAAATCTAAAAAATAAAATAGCAGGAATAAAAGCAATTAATTTGAAAATAAGTCTATAATAGCTATCATCATATTTATAAGGTATATTTGAATATTAACTACCACTTAACACAAATAGTTTGAAAAACAAGTAACATTTTACTCTAGTTCAATTTTTTTTTAATAAATAAAGCATAGGATTAATCAATATTATAAATAGTCATTATGTACATTTGTAACATAAATAGACAACATTTAGGTACAAAACACAATATTTTCAGAAAAGAAAAACGTTTACCATTTTTAACAAAACGTTTACCATTCAACTTTTACATTCAGGCTCTATAAATGCATAGGAAAGGTGATGTACTAAATCAAAACTAGAACATGCATGAATATGATATACATAATGTGCATGCAAGTTTGCAACATGTTGGCTTATTCATGTATGCACTTTAAAAGGACAAGTTTTGTTAAGGTTTTTCAAGGTGAAAATAATACTCATGCATATCTGTCTATTCTACAGGTTTTACAAAATTTTATACCAGCTGTTGTAAAAGATGTTTCACTTATAAGTTGAAAATACAAATTTTCAACATGTATTTTCAACGAGGGTAACTATAAACAGCGGGTTGAAAATGAACATCAGTATTAAGTTTACTAAAAAGTGAAGAAATACACAAAATAGAGATAATAGAACCATATATTGTGTTACTTAGATTCAGTTGCTAAAATGAGGGGATAAAAACAAGAAAAAAATAAAGAATCTGGTGGTAAAGACACCATAATGGTTCTTAACAAATCCATTTTAGGTATTCTTAAGAACAATCTAAGCTTAGGCTCAGTCCATTTGCAAAACAAATCTATCCATAATCTAAAAAATAAAAACATTATGAAGTGTTCAACGCCGCCCCAAATCGACTGATCATTATTTTTATCCCATTTTGAAAATAAAAACATGATCATATAAAGTAAGAAAATTATGATATTTAATGCATAGTGTTGATTATGCATAGGAATTTTCTAGTATAATGTTCTGTTAAAAAAGGTAGCAATTAGACTAACAGTTTTCTTTTGATGCATAAATGTTTAAAACTAATTAACAACATTTATATTGTCTAACTAACTTTGAATAACTCAGTTACCATAATAATTTCATTAAGATTTTTCTTAGTTAAAAATATTTTTAACATGTTTAATTTAATGTAATTAACATCACTTACAGTTAAAGAAGTTGGGCCCCACAAATATGTGGGCTACGCAAATATGTGGTTGTAGACTAGTGGTAAAGCATTTGGTTCACAATCAAGAGGTTGAGATTCAAATCTACCCTGCAGCTTTTGAAATTACTGTGCTTAATCTGTTTCTCTACACAGCACCCTTAATTGAAACAATATCGGTAGCAAAGCTAAAACTTGGGTTCAGCGACACATTTTTAGTAGCCATGGTTTTGTGAGGGGAAGATTAGAGTTTGGTACAGCATGATTCATCTCTCCTATCTACTATGGTAAATCTGTGCATGCCCTTAACCAGCGCAACAAGAAACTTGGATCAGCAATCAAGGCTAATGCATGACAGGACTCCATCAATAAGGAGACAAAGATCTTATCTGAACAAATTATAAGGGGTTATGGGGTCAACACCTCCATAATTCTGGTGCACCTAATTGACCATTATGAGCAATAGAAAGATAATAAGTAACAGACCCTTGATTGGAAAGAGGGGATAACTGTCAATAAAGAAGCAAGAGCTGATTGTGCTGAAGCGTGAGTAGTTGAACATCCAGGTGCAGGTATTTGGTTGGGTTTTTTTAAAAAACCTGAAATTTTTCTAACCCTGATTGATTTTAATAAGCAGCTAATAAATTAGTATCAGTAGAAATCTTTTTATATCCGTCATATATTGGCATCAGCAACACATGCGCAACTGATACACCACTAATCTGTTACAGATTATTAAAAAAAAAGATTTTAAATGAATAAAATTATAACCATTTAGTTAAAGACAGTATATAACTGTTAAAATCAGCATGTCAATAATTTTAGAAATTCAAATCAGCACATGCTGTAAAGCCCAGTTAAACTGTTTTTACAACAAAACTGAAAAACCTCTGCGATATTTGAAAACCAAAGATTGGTGCACCATGTCTTAAAAAGAAAAGAAAAAAGAACTGAAAATCTTGCTTCAAAAATTCGAACTCAAATTGATTAAAAATCAAAAAAATAAGTTAGTTAAATCAATGTAAAACCAACACACAAAACTTAATTCAGGATGGTGATCATTAACTAAAGTTAATGGATGCCATCATATTTAATGGTAGCTATTGTCACAAAAATTAAATAGTTTATCCAACCACTTATTTTTATTTATTTATTTGTTTTATTGTTGTTGTTTTTTTAAATCTTTATTAAACTTGGTTTCAGTAATTTTGAATTAGCAAATTTAAAAAAGTAATAATCAGCAAATTTAAGACTCAATTATTTAAAGTAAAACATTATGCCACAGTCTGTAAAAAAGAAAAACTTGCTTGGATAAAACTAAATGACTTGATATTATCATACTTATTTTACCATTTGTATATTTATGCCTCCTAAAGGTTTACTTGGGATTCATAGTAAGCATAAGCATAACTCCTTAAAATGCTTACAAAAAAGCTGACCATAACCCCTTGATGATTGTTTTAGGTAAGAATATCAAAAGTAATTGATATTTTTTATATAGATAGATTTATATTTTAAAAAATATAAATAAAAGTTAATAGACCTTTGCATAATACCATAATATTTGCATTAAAAGCTAAAAATAACTAACAACCTTTAGAATTAGGGTCAACCTCTAGGAAAAACGAGGTCAGCAATTTATTGGTGACCTTATTTTTCCTAATTCCAAGGGTTGAACTAACCTCTTGGTAGGGCAATGTCTTTCAACTGGATTATCGTCATATTTCTGCTCCTTGTAGGAATTGAAATGCTTTTGTTCGTATGATATTTTCATTGGGTCCCAGTTATTGAAATTATCTTCATCAGACATGATCGTTGACTTTCTATTTAAAAGAAAATATTTTATAAATAAATAAAAATGAACAAAAAAATTTTTTTAAAAACTTAAAAAACTTTTTTTTTTAACCTTAAACTTACAAAATAATATAAATTTTGTTTAAAGATTTAATTTATAAATATAAATTTTATCAAATACTTAATTTAATTATTTTATAATATATTTTTTTGTTAAGTCTTTTTATAAATTTTTTAATTTTGATAAAAATTTATTTCAAATTAAGAAAATTATAGTTAAATATTTAGCAATAAAAATATTAACCAAGAATTAAGACTATAATCAATACATATTTACTACTTTATCTTTTCAAAATCTAATAATTATTCCTCAGTATAGAGTTATTTATTAGATATTCTGGTAGATATTATTGTCTAAAAGTAATAATGACAATATGTCAAGCTTGCAATTGGAAAGAGACAAAAAAAGATTTCAGTCCATTCTATACTACTTTAATACTGAACTTGCTCATGCTGCCTCCATTACTTATTTGAGCGCAGAACTTAAGGCAGACATAACACCCAAGTTAATGGCAAGAAAGAGTCACAGCACTTTTTAATAAGAAAATGTAAATGAAAGTGTATGCAAATATCTAACTTGAGTAAACTTCAAATTATGTAATGTTAAAACATATATCAAGTTTTGCAGTTTTACTTTTACTTGAAAATTGCGGCAACATCTCTTTAATTTTGATTTATAGTATTTATTTGTCGTTGTTTATTAAATAGTATCAAAACATTTTTCAAACAATACGCAATATAAGTAGTTAGCTTGTGTTTCTAAAGTGAATCGCCAAGCCTTTCCAGGAAACACGTGCTATCACACCTTGTTTGTCCACATTTAAAGTAATTTTATTAGACACACTAACCACAGCAGTTTGAATCTTTTAACTTTTAAAGCATTTCAAAAATTTGCGGTAAAAAGCTATCTACAGAGTAAATAAAAAATACTAAAAAAAGGAAAAATTGTAACGAAATAACAAATTTTAATTAAAAATACTTGAACATTTAATCATAAAAAAAAAATTTAATATTTTTTTACAAAACTTTTATATGACTTTTGTATTCTATTCTTTAAGGTGGTTGTTATTTTTAGCTACCTTTAAAAAATTAAACAATATATTTTACAAACAAATATCAATTTATTTTCTAATTTTCTCACTATATAAGTATTAAGAAAAATACTTATTGGGCTCTCAGACTTGATTGTCACACTTGATTAAGAAAAATTACAAACTTTGTCTAATTATTCAGCCTCAGTGATTTTGTCGATAATTGCCTCATAATCTGGAAGATAAGTGAAATAAGTAAGATTATATACTTACTTATTTTTAGATTTGTGTGCTACACATTATAAATATCAAACCATGTGCAATATATTATATCAAAAATTAAAAAGCTTAAAGAATTTATATCAGACTCCAATATTTAATTTTTCCTTTAATGATGTTTTTATGCTTCACACAAAGTTTACACCATATTTTTACAAGTGTCTACATTGTTAACTTTTATAACTTTTTGACCAAGAAAATTGTAATTTTATGATTGAACAAATTTAATGATATTGTAATAGGTTTTTTACTCTTACTATATTTTTTTCTCTGCTGATTTTTTCTTTTCAAAGCTACCCTTTTATTATGTTGCAGTAAATAAATTTTGTAATTTATAGAAGAAATAATAGAAAATAATAGAATAGAATGGTTGTTTTATTAATATATTCAACACATTTGATGCCTGTCTGAATTGTTTCCTTTATATTGCCCAATATCCAACATTAATAAACTACTAAAAATTTTGTTAAAAAGATTCCAAAAAATAACCAGTGCATTAGCCCACAAGCTTTTGTAGCATCGCCAATAATAATAGATCATCAGGAAATAAATCAGATTTAAATGCACAATTTAAAGAGTCCAACTAACGTGGGGAAAACAACAAAATATTTTATATTTGAACATTACGCTACTGATTTGGCAATAACTCATATCTGACATTTTTTTCAAAATTGACGTTTTGGTACCTAATAATGTCTTAAACAGAAATAAATTAGTTTTTAGTTGCTCCTGAAAAATGTATTGATTGTCAGTTACGTGTTGTTGCCAAATCAGTAGCGATTAGTATTAATGACTTTTATCAAAAATTGTTGAAAAAAAAAAAAATTACAAATAAAGAATAATTAGTTTTATTATAGAATAATTAGACTTACCTGTTCTATAATAAAAACAGTACAGTTTAGTGAAAGCATTTGAAAAATAAATTTTAAAATTGTCTGCATTTCTAGCGTAAATAATAAAGCATTTTCTTAATATAGTGACTGACAAAAGTGTATATCAAATGTCTTTATTTTTTATATGTTCTTATTTGCTTTTATCCTTGACTAGTATCAATTTTGGTTGTGAAAAATAACAGTTGATCTAAAAAAAAAAAAGGAAAAAAAAGAGTAAAATATTTAGGTATATATATATATATTCTTTTTTTCTTTTTTTTTTTTTTGAAAAAATTTGTTTGTTTTTTAATTTGTTTTTTTTTGTTTGTTTTTTTCTTTAGAATGTCTATTTCATATACGTTTCTTTTCTTTGAGTAATGGTGTTTTATTCTCTGAAGTTTCTTATAGGTTTATTTTGCCCCAAATGCTTAAAAACGCTTACTATATAAAAACATGGTTGAGTTGTCTCAAAAAATTACTTTAAACATGAAGAACAAGGCAAGCAACTGCACACGCTTCCTGGGAAGGTTTAATTGCCATGGTTTAAATCCTTGCGCATGCACTTTTTTTTTTTTTAACTTTTTAAAACACATCTTTTTTAACTTTTTAAAACACAAATAAATCATTTTTGAAGTTCTATAGATATTTTATACATAACACATATAAGGATATTATATACCATCAAAAACAAATGGGGAATACCATCAAAAACAAATGGGGGAGAATTTTTATATAAAATCAAATTTTCTTATAAAATCAAAACATAGGGAGAAATTAGTTTTACATGTCACACTTATAATTTTAGTGTGGTAAATAGTCCTAATAAGCTGCAAAAGGTCAGAAAAAAAATTATGGTTTGAAATTTAATAAAGAAAAAATTTAATAAGCTCATCCTGCTACTCCAGAAGGTACTGCTGTCAATAGAGTGGTCTAAATTTTACACATTATTTAAAATGCAGGCTCCACAACCCTAAACGTGTTCTATATAATAACATAATACTGGAGAGAAAAAAATCAAAAAAAATAATTTTTTTAGGGGTAGCAATAGTCTCTTAAACATCAGACAGGCCCCTAATATTATCAAGAAAAATGGTTCTTTAAAAGTATATCATGTTGGGTCTCGAAAAAAGTGAAATTTTATAAAAATTTTAAAAATAATAAAAACAGTAATCTTTTCAGCCAATAAATTACTAATAACCCAAGATGTAATACCTGAATTATATTCCTTGAACCTTGAACCAAGAGCTTCTTTCCCAGAAACTTCACAAACACAAGCCAACAAGAACATTTATAAAAATGCTGATTTGTGAACTGCAGGAAAGATATCCTCTTAATAGTGCTGAACAGCTGATTAATTGTTTTGCAAATTTTTTAGGCCCACGATACAAAGGCCTGCATTTGATTGAATATAAAAAATGTGATGAAATAAAATAAGCAATATTGACTCAGGAAAAAAAGAAAAAACATGAAAAAACTTCAACGAGTAGTAGCAAAATAGACAAAGTGATGAAAATATTAAAGTTAATCACCATGAACTGGTTAGAAAAAGACTGAAACAAGATATTTATATATATTTATATGAAAGAAAATATGAAAATAATTCACTTTTAGTTTTCTTTGGTTTTTTTAAAAACATTTATTCTAAATATATTAAATAAATGACCTCTAAAACTTTGTTTTGTTTTTAACCGAAACCGAATCAAACCGATCAATAAAAAGTTTAAACCGAACCGAAAAAAACCAAATCGTTACTTTTGTATTCAAAACTGAATCGAAAAAAACTGAATCGAAAAAAACTAAACTGAAAAAAACCTTCGATGCATGGCCATACATTTTATGCACAAAAAGGTGCTTAACTTGCAGTATTGCAAGTAGTATATCTGATATACTTTAAAAGATTATCAATGTCATGGTGTTTTTTCTATTATTTTGTTTTAAATAGACACTTCACTATACTGCTGTCTTTTAAGTTTTCTTTAGAATTTTATTTTTTTAGTCAATTCCTTAATAAAATGAGAAACAACAATAACATTTAAAAAAATTTAAGATGAACTTAAAATTTTTTAACTTAAAAATGCATTTATAATGATAAAATGTAAACAAACCATGAATATGCTTAAAAATTAAGAAAATTAATAAAACATATATAACTTAATATATAACTAGTATTGCATAACAAAGTATATTCAGGTAGTAATGTCGGTGGTGTAATTATTTTATTTTAATGAAATATTTCTTTTTATATTGACCTCTCAAAAACGGGGAAAAGCTAATATAATTGAGGAGGCTGCTCTATTTATTAACAAGTTGATTCAAGTACAGTTGTGGACAGAAAAGGTGTGCGGTTGCACACCTTTCATTTCCAAGACTTTTTTTATGTCTAAATAAAAATAATTATGATTATTTTTTATTTATTTATGTATTTTTATATATCAATCAAAAAAACAATACATTAACAAATAAAAAAATAATAATAATTTTAACTAAAGATAAAAAAAAAAACTTTTTTAAAATCTCCCAACACAGTATTAACTGTGATAACCTTTTTAAAGCAAGATGATGAACTATAAAACTTTAATCTTTTTTAAGTTTTTATAATTATAGAAAAACTCTTTTAAATAAAAAAAAAACTTACATCTAATCATCTTTTAATAAAAAACTAACTTTATTTTAATAATCAAAAAGCATTTTTAAAAAAAGTTTATTGAAACATATTCGTATTAAAAATACTTTTGAAATAAATAAAAGTTTTTTTTTTATTATTCAATAATAACTCATTTAATGGCATTTTAAAACTTTATTTAAAAGTGTTTAGCTAGTGTAAACTAATTTTATTAGAAAGTTTACATAGCATATAAAAAAAAAAACTTTGTTATGTTTTTGACTATTAAATTTATGAATTCATCAAAAAGTTTATTAAAAAATCATTTTCATTGTAGTTTATAAAATTAAATGTACAAATTGTTTTAAAAACATTTTATTCATCATAAAAAAATCCACTTTTTAACAAAACAATATTTTTCAATAATTTAAACAAATGTCTTTTATAGTATACAATCTTTAAAAGCAATTTTTTTTTTTTTTTTAATTTTACTTCACCTCCTCAAGGCCGAGAAGGCCACTAAAAACGAGGAGGCTACTTTATTTTTCTTGCTTTATTACCTTTGTACTTTATTTAGCGCATTTTTTAAATGTTTTCAAAATTTTAAAAAGGCTGTGGGTAAAGTTGTTGCAAAAAATAATAAATGCGCCAGGAATAGAGTGTAATTGCACACCTTTCATGTGCATGAAATACATCCAGGGACATGGTGGGTTTGAACTCCATACCTATTGTTTAAGAAGCAAGCATATAAAACACCATTCAAAATCACATAAAACAAAATCACTCAAAATCACATAAAACAAAATTTACAGTATTAATAATTTTATTAAATTAAGAAATACTGCATACTGTTTTTGCAAGTCAAAAGTCACCCTATTGTGTATTTTTTTAAAGCTAAATTAGGATAGTTCTGTACAAAGTGCAAAAAGATTATTATATTCAATACAAGCTTCAAATTAGGGTTTATTTACAGTTACAAAAAATTTAGCTGTCAATCTTTACAACTTTGGCCATTACCATCAAGCAGCATTAGAAATCATAGTGCCCTCCTAGGACAAAATGTAAGATTCAGCAAAAGACACATTCAAATATAATGTAACCATTACAAACGTTCCATGATTAATGAATAAAAAGTAAAAAAAGTAAAAATAATAAAACAATACATTATTGTGTTGGCAGAATCTTCAGTCAAATTTACTCCTATTGATATGAGCTGTTTTTCCAATTTGTTAGTATATTTCTCTCTTTTTTTAATCTACATAAAACAGAATAAATTGGTTACAAAAATTTTTTAAAATTTATCATACTTTACAATTTAAATTTTTAAAATCTGATAAATTTCTTTAAGAACTAAACATTCTTTTTTTTTTTAATATTCTGAATGTTTTTATTTTTATTTCTATACTTTATAGGTCGCTGCTAAAAGGGAGTGCTGTTACATCATATATCTTATAGCCTGCTGCTACATTGATTATCTTATGGCCTGCTGCTACATTGATCATCTTATAGCCTGTTTCTACAAAGAAAGTGCTGCTACATTGACTGAGAGTTTGGTTGGGACAGGCAGTTCTATCAAATAACATAAAAAAAAACTTTTTTAAAAAAATTTTAAAATTTTTTCTTATCTCTGCATGTCATGATGTCATTGATTTTTTTACACCCATGATGTCATTGATTTTTTTTTGTTTGCATAAAAGATCGATATGTAAACAAACAAAAAACTCTATGTTGTCATACAATGAAACTCTTAGGAATAAAATGCCCTTGAATAAACTATTAAGCCTATAGATTGTGTCATATATTAGCTCACTTTTAGGCCTATATTAGAACGGAGAAGTTAAAATAAAAAAGTTACTTTTTCTTGGTATTCATTTATTCTTTTGGATTAATCAAAACAATTTAGGTCAAAAATTAATTTTTATCATTCTCTTTATTATGAAAATAACATGTCTTAATAACATTCCCTTAAATCAATTTATTTTTTTTTTAAAAAACAACATAAACTTGACATTTTATTGGGAAAATTAAAAATGACCAAGCAGTAGTATATAATGATAAATATGTGTAAGTATATAAATATCTCTTCTTTAGTACCCTTGCATAAAACGTTGTTAGCATCATACTAAAATAGAGACCTGCATAAGCATCAACACCTACATCAAATTAGGTTTAGGTTTGAAGGAAATAAAGCAACCTTATTATGAGAGACAAAACTTTGTTTTTTGTATTACTTTTTAAGCATTTATAAACTTTGTGCAAAATATATTAGTACAGTGCCAATCTCAATTCAATAAAAATTCTAAAATAACAAGGATGAAAATATATATATATATAAATCCCTAAATCTATACTAATAGAGATATTTTTCTTTATTCCTGTAAAAATCTTTTTTTTTTCATTTTTTTCACTTTTTTTTTTTACATAATTCCTATTTTTTTTCTAATTTTATTCTTTCTCAATTTTTATTAATAAATATTTGAATATTATAGTATATAGTAACTTATTTAATTAAATAAATTACTATATAGTAAGTATATACTATAAAAATAATGTGCTGAAACAGGAGCAGATACTCTTGTGGAACCAATATTACAACTATATTCTAGGTCATATATTTTATAAAACATTTTCTAATAGCTTATTTTTAAAGTCCTATTCTTTGTCTATTAAACATTTGAAATGATTCTGCGCATTGATTGTGACAGAGTTAAACCTGTTTCAAATAGTTGCAACAGGATTTGTAAAGAAATTGTATCTTGGTGTGCAGTCTTTTATCAGCTCTAATTTCAGTTTATGATTGTGACCACATGTTATTAATGATTTACTAATGATTAATGCTAATTGTTGCAAAGTTGCAATACTTTGCTGTATCTAGTTTATTAAGTATTTTATACATTTGAATTGCATTTACTCTTTTTATGTAGTGTCTGAACTTTGTAATTCCAAGTTTATTAAGTCTTTTTTCGAACTGTACCTTATTTAATAATGGTGTAATAAACAATTTTGGTTATTTTTACATAATTATTCATTATAGGGCCATGTCTTCCTACGATGACACTAAAAAAACTTTTAACTTTAAAACTTCATAACTCCAAAACCGTAACAGATTCAAATTTAAGGTTTTTGGATTAAAAATTTAAACTCAATTATTAACTAGTTTATATTATTCAAATATGAATAAAATTAATTTTTTAATTTTTCTTCACCTACCATGAATGGAAAAATCGTATATTTTGATTTTAATTTTATTTACCTTATAAAAAAAATCCATAAATTAAATATGATTACTAAATATACGAAACATTGGTTTTTTAGTTTTATAAAAATTATCCACTTAAAATTTTCTCTTTTTTTGTTTTGTTTTTTTGTTGATATTTTTTTTTTTGTCATTTAATTCTTTGATGTAATTTATAGCTCCTGCAGCTGATCCTCAGAATATATTAATTTAACTTTTATAAGGTTTCCAAATATATATTTTTTTAAATCTTGAATTTTATCAACTCATTTCATATTATAAATAAAGTATAAGAAGCATATCAAATGAATATTTCCAAGAGTTTATTAAAGAAAAAAATAAACAAAATAAATCACATTCAAAAAATTGTTTCCATAATGCTTACTAGTGGGTAATTCCATGTCAAACCAGCAGAAAAAAAACAAATGTCACCCCATGTTTTGGATTTTGCTAATTTTTTTATAAATTATAGGTTTATGAAAATTAGGAAAATCTAAAATTTGGAATCTTCAACTCTTTACTGGTCTTGATATATTTAGGATTCAAGTTTCTTATACATGCTGACTCGGCATTTTTTTGCAAAATATTTTTTTGTTGTTAAATAGCAATATTTTATGAACCAAATAATGTATTAACCTGAAATTTTGTACATAAACAATCTTCTGCATGGCAGATATTTAAAACTAAAATTTTTTTGATAACCTTAATTACATGTAAATTAGATATATATTTTGGGGTGTTTTGATGGTCAAAATGGTGATGCAGGGTGTTAACCAGGAATAAATTTGATACAGCGTTTTAACAAAATTTAGGAATTTGTCGAAGTGTTTCTCAATCACCTCTCTCCCCCCTGAGATCAAAATATGTTCTGGGAAAGCATGTGGTCCTTTTTTGGTGTTTTTTTTCCTACTCTACTTCAGCGCTGCATACATTGATTGATCAGTGCCAAAAATAAAATACCATCTGTATCATTAAAGATGAATATGAAATCAACACAAAATTAGCTGTTGTTTCACGACACAGCAAACTAAGAACCGATTTCCAAACATATATTAGGAATGATAACCTTTTTTTATTATAAACTAATCATTGTATATTAATTATTATTGAGATTAATTAATTTGATTTATTTTTAATCTTTATATATTGTCGCCGCTTTCATTTCAAGAGTATTATTTTAAATATATATATATTTTTCAATGTAATATAGTAAAATAGCGATCTCCAACGAGCCAATGATCTTCTACTTCTAATTATTATTTAAATTCTGCTCGATGTACCTTACGAACGAACCCTTACATCATTATGTAATAAATTGTGTCATCAAAAGAATTTTTTTTAAAATAGATAAGGTTTTAAAAATAGTAAACACGAGCTCATAAAGTTCATATTTCACATTTATTGCGAGTTCAATTTTATAATTAATAATAATTTATTTTATACATAAATCGCATAGCAAAATAAAGTGATAATTACGAAGTCTCAGCAAATACAACAACAAATGTCATTTAATTATAGAGTAATATTATTAGCAAGCGATTGCACGCGTGGCATCGAAGAATACAGTAAAAAAGTAAAAAAATTTAGCAAATTCAGTTGATATAAAATAACAAACAAAAAAAAGAAAAACAATGACTAAAAGACTTTCCATAATACCCGTAATTGATCAAAAGGATCAATTACAGGTATTATGAAAAGTATTATCTGACAACCTGTTTTTGTTGACAAAATACATGTACTACTTAAAGTTGAGTTTACGGTAAGACTTAATAAGTTATTTAACTTTTTAGCCAAAAGGGGCGAAACTTTTAAAGAAATAGGATTTGCAGGTGTTAAATTAAACATGTTTGTTATTATTTTGGATCTTTTAGATTAGTACTTTATTTCTTGTTAACTTTCTAATGTAATATTTGCTATTGTTAAAATGCATTGCAAAAAACTATTTTCAAACTTTATTGTAAGTTGCCACAAAAATCCCAAAAATCGCTCCAAAAATCCCAATTCTCATAATGTTTTTTCCAAGAAACCTATTTTCACAGTTATGCAATTGCTTTTTTATTCCAATAATGACGATTTGATTTCATGTTTTACGCAATTAATGAATTAGAATTTTTTTATGTTATTTTTCTATTAGTTTTGAATAATAATTAATTTTAAATTATTTTTAGAATTATTATTTAACTTTAATTTGGAAACTTTTTTTGGAGAATGGGATTTTTTCATCTTTAAATTGGGAATTTTAATTTAATGAGCATTTGGGAGAACTGCCTTTGACGGGGCGCCACAGGGCTAGTTTACACCCTGTGATGTCACCTTGATAATTTTTTTGAGGCATTGTTATAACTTACAATATAGGTATCAAACATCAATATTAATAAAAAATATATTACTGCATTTTTCAACTTTTTAGCATAAAATTTATTGCTAACTTATTAATGACAAAATTATGACATATTTTAATTTTGTGATGTAAAAAGTTATTGTTTAAGTCTTTTTGAGGGCAATAATAAATTTATACTTTATTTATGATGTAATTCCATGTCAATTGAGCCAAAAAATTTCAAAAATGTCACCATACATTTCAGATTTTGCTGATTTTTATACAGTTGAGAGTACTTAGTAAAACAAAAAATCCTTGAAAATTTTAGCTTCTAGCTCCAAGAGGATTATGAAATATGATCATTTTACTTTTAACTGATCTTGGCCAGGCCCCTCTTGTCCCCTCAGAAGTGTGACCTTTGTTTAAAGGTTCCAAGTCACATAGCTTTAAAAATATTTGACCTTTTGACTCAAAAATTTGTACCTGGCTATTTTTAGGTAATTCCATGTCGAAGAATCCAATGAAATATAATCAGAAATGTAAAAAATTATTTTTAAGTACTTGTAATTGTCAATTTAAATAAATTTAGGCAATTTTTTATATACCTGATTTTGATGCTCAAGAAAGCCATGTGGCCTTGATGATATAAAAAAAAAAAAAATTGTACACATTCTATGTTTAATGATCTTTCAGAAAACAT